TCTGAAGGTTGCATTGAGGCCTAAAGAAACAAATCCAAACGTACTACTGAATCCTCAACAGCTTGTAATAAATTCCTTAGATTAAGTTAGAAAATTGTCCTTAAGTGACCTGAGTGAATCTGGTCAAGTCAGGTCCAACAGCTTTGAACATAAATATTAAAATCTGGTGTCATGCTTTCTCTTAATTCACACCAAAACATGACCGCTACTCATTTAATTGAGAGTCTCCATTTTATTTCATAACGGCCCGCATTGTTACTCTGTATGCAGGCCTCGCAGTGCAAAATGCCACCGTAATGGAAGCAAGGTGTTGGGTTAATTGATAAATCTGAGGTCCTGAGTAGGAAGGAGTGTGGCAGGGAGAATGTTTTACGGCTGTGCAAATGAAGGGGCTGCAGGGTTTTACGCACGCCGTAAAACGGTTATGGAGAATTAGCGTTCTTTCTTTCTCACCGCAGTAACCCGGACACTAATGCAGCAGAGCCGCAGAGATGGATGGACGTGATAACGTAGGAAATACATACACAGACACATAAAAGGAGAACCCATATGAGTTCACGCATTTGCTAACCCTGACCCACCTAATTCCATTGTCTCTACTTGTGGCCTATTTCAGTTTAGGGTATTAATTGCTAATGAATACTGCTCCCATTAAAATGATCAGTTGTATGCATCATGGTGATATATTATAGCTGAGGTCATTAAGTGAGCCAGTATGTGTGTGCATGTGTGTCGACACACTTTTCCTGTCCCCATCGCCTGAAGCTTTGCACCCACAATACAAGAATGATAACAATAAAGCCACACCAGAGTATCTTGGAGAACGGTGTGTGTTGTGGCGAGAGGAGGTAACAAGGACAGCGGTGCTGCAACATTAGTATATGTGTAGGAAATTGACAAATGGTCTGTGTATATGCATGCATTCATGTGTGTGCATGTCATTGTCTATGTTGAAGGAAAGAAGGAATGCCTGTGCGATCGTGTGTTCTGGTGTGTATCAGTGTGTGTTAGTTCTGATCAGATACTAGCTTTTGAAAGTTGTGACGGGTGTCAGTCTAATGCGAGGGGAAAGAAAGGCTTGGAGCGCAGACAGTCACAGACGTGACCACTCAATGTAGTGTACTTGATTAGCACGTAGCCTCCTAATTAGCTATCCTCTATGGTTGCAGGCAGTACCGCTGGTGACATGGCTAATAACACAACCACAAAATTAGCATGGAGGGAGAGGGCTTTCCCATATCTGCATTTGAAATGAATCATTGCTGTTGCATTCAGCTTGTGTACAAGCACCTTTGAGTGATTTATCTAACAATGAACAGTACATTGCTGGCTGTATTAAACAGATATTAAGTTACTAACTCACAAAAAAACAAACCTTTTACAGTAAACAATTCACAAAGCAATCACACCCAAAATGAGCAAGAAAGGGCAGGAGGGTAAGATGCAGCACGGTAACCCATGTAGGTAGAATACAAATGAAAATTTAACCAGCATCACTATTTTGGTTCAACAAATATAGGCAAAGCTAAAAGAGTAGGAGGTATTATTAATGAGAGCCTTACATGTCAGGCTGATTTCAGATTATGGTGCTTTAAAATGATTTTATAAGAGATTAGGGATGGAGATGAATAAAGGACAGAGCTGTCAATCTGATCTATAGGAACCTGGAAGGTAAAGGCATGGGCACATGCTGTAAGAGCTGAAGAAAGTCAACCATTGCCAAGCCCCCCTATGAACCCCTAAGCTGGGGCCATATAGTTCTTGGAGAGCTAGGGATTGGCATCTATGTGATTTTGTCTGGATGGGTGTGCCCTGACATGCTGGGACACATTTTAATTGATAGATTTTTGACTGCGATACAGATGGCTGAGGTCAATAAAAGTCCAGGAGTCATGGGCTATTTCTAGGGCGAGCTTTGAATTTGGGATGCTGAGTGCATACTGCCCAGAGCTGTGATGGTCAAGCCAGAAAGCCATAGTCTGGAACTAGGGAAAAAACTGGGCTATGTTAATGATGAGGCTTCAGGCTGTGTAGATGGCTGAAGCACGGCTTAGGGTGATGATTACAAGCAGGGCTAGGTAATGTGGCAGAGGGCTGGGTGAGAGGGCTGTGGCTGGGGTTTGAAAATAATTAGGAGCATGGCTGGATAACATAGCTTGATAATGTGGCTGGGGGGAGGCCGGCTGGGCAGGGTACGAAGATGATGAGTATCAGGGCTGAGCTGTCCACTCCATTGGCCCTCTGAGCTGTGACAAGAAGCTCTGCTGGCTGCTGCCGTAGCTGGAGGTGATGCCAGCGATAGGACTAATGCACTAATTACCACAGAGAGGGAGAAGAAAGAGAGAGTAAATAGAGGTAGAGAGAGATACAGAAAGACGAAGCGTCAGACCGAGAGATGTAAGGGGGGAATCTGAGGTCTGATGAGCTCTGAGTGACAGCAGTGACACGACGGGGCTGAGAGCAGGCACCGCTATCTTCCTCATCTTCAACATCCTGCACAGCAGCGTTATCACTGAGGAAGTGGAGGTCAAGTTTAGCCAGCATGTATGTATGTGTGTCTCTGGCATGTATGTGTGTGTATCTATGTGTGTATGTGGGTGACTCCATGCATGTGTGTTTTTGTATGTGCATGTGCAAATGTGTATTTGTAAGATATGGTTCAAGCAAATGGCAAGTAGAAAGCTGTCATTCTGCAGCATCCATCAAAGAGACAGTTCAATGATAGGAATTAGCTATAGGTATGTGTTCCCTAAAACACAGAATTTAACTGATATTTTGGTGCACTCTTTGACCACTGTGATGATGCAGAGAAATGTTTGGAGAAGCGTGTCCAATCAATGTTTTTATTTTGCATTAGATAGAAGCATGTGTATACCATGAGCATGGAGTGATGACGTGATGATGTAAACCAATGTCAAATTATCAAACGGTAGAGACATTTCTATCATCTGATAATATATATATATATAAATACTATCTAGCAATGACATTCACAAACCTTAAAATGTATTTATTTTTGTTCGGTTTGTTGAACTTAGGGTAAATTAGAGCTGACTTTGACATCTGTTAAACACATGAAACTGTTGAAACAACATCCATAACATTCATCTGGCTGCTATTTAGAAATGATTTATCTATTGATCTAATATATCATATTCCAATAACTTGCATATACACTCTTATTGCACTATTTCACTTTTTAAACTATTTTTCTTTTTGTATTTACTTGCACTATATTTTTCTGTTTACCTGTTGTATTGTGTGCACTGTTGGAGGAGCCTGTGACCTAAGATTTTCAACGTCATAACTACACTGTAGCTATGTTCGTATGACAAAATAAAAACCTTGAACCTTGAACTTGCGGCCTTCAATGCGTTTCAGCTATAGCTACTCCCTGCGTGTAGGGTCTCTTATTTAAATGGTGAGCTAAATGATCACCAATGGCTTTAATTGTAATGGCCTCAGCGAAACCTTCATTACAACACATGCTCAAACACAAAGACCCAACATGCTTTCTATCAATATTGTATTTTTACAAATATAGCATACACCTGCACCAAGCAAAACCATTCTTACTCCCCCGGCCCCTGCTGTCAGCAGCAGGAGACCCCACTCACCCGCCCACTCACTCCACATACTTATTTATCTCCACTTCCTGGGGCCGTGTTAGTTCATTCCCCTGTCGCTGCTCTCTCCTTCTTTCCCTGCTCCGCTCTCTCTCTCTCTTGTTTCACTCCTCGTTTCCGGGCAATTGGGTCTGGGTGCTGGTGGTGGGGGGTAAGAGGTTGGGGTGGAGCTGCTGGGAACTTTGTGTGTGTGTGTGTGTGTGTGTGTGTGTGTGTGTGTGTGTGTGTGTGTGTGTGTGTGTGTGTGTGTGTGTGTGTGTGTGTGTGTGTGTGTGTGTGTGTGTGTGTGTGTGTGTGCGTATGTGTTTGTGTGTGTGCTGGGAAGTGAGCTAATAAAGGACGGTGATCCATGAAAGGCCTTGAGCAAAGACACAGTCAATTACCTAATGCCTGGACCAGACCGCAGGGCCCACGCACACACACTCTCTCTCCAACACACACACACTCACACACACCCATGCATACACCTCATTTACGTATACATTGAAAGAGGGCATTGGAGGGCATAACTGGGAATTGTGTGTATGTGTGTGGGTGGGTGTGCATATGCGTGTGATGGAGAGCGCCGATTTATTAAATTGCTGTCACTTTTGACAAATTTGTGCAACTCAAGTTGAAAGGGTGAGGCTGCACAGCGTCTCTGTTTTTCCTCTTTTTCTTTTGGAGGAGAATTATACCTTTCAGACCAAAACCCAGGAAACCCGGGGATAAACCTCTGACTGCCATCCGTCAGCAAGTGTGTTCTGACTGGGCTTCATGTCCCAGCGCTAGACCTGGGTTTAACAAGGATCTGACATTGATGCGAAATGGTAAACACGGGTTTCTCCGCTGTTGTAGCTGTATGACCACTATCAAATGATTATAGGATAACTATAGACCTACAGCAGAACGATGTTTCTCAACCACCATAAATGCTTTTTCTATCTCAAAGACTTTTGACTCTTAGTTCAAGAGTTAAGGCTCATGTTGAATTTGGAAACAACTTCTTTAAATTAAGTGAAACACAACAGCACTGATTGTCAGAAAGATACGTTTCTATCTTCTTAGCAATTTAGTCGTAATATGTGTGGTGAAAAACGTTGTTTGACAGCATGTTTGACAGCAGTCTTAAATAAATGAGTAATATGCAAATGTACCAAATCTTTATTGTCCTGTGTAACACGCGTTGCTGTAAGTGTTCTCCATCGATGGTTTCTGTGTGTGAGCGTTGTTTTGAGGCCAGGCAGAAAAGGAACCCTTCACCACATTCACCTTTTATGAATAGAATGATGCCTAGTCAGATGTGTTAGGGTTAACCTAATTCAGACACTTAGTAGGTAGTATACCCAATAACTAAATGAAGGTTTGTGTTTGTAGTGTTCAACCTACCTCCTCTTGGAGTCAGAGTCTAATCTACAAACTGACGCTGTTGCCGCAGGCTGGCTGAGTAAAGGATTTGCTGTTGTGGCTCAGATGGCGGATTCTACTTCCTGTTTCTCTGGATTGCCAAGAAGGACAAAAAGAATAAAAACATTATTTGTTATAAAGGTTGCAGTTCAGCTTAGGTTAGTCTTATGTAGAACAGGGGTTCCCAAACTTTTCAGCCCGCGACCCCCAAAATAACAGTGCCAGAGACTGGCGACCCCCTGTCCGCACTCTCGCGGGAGTGTCATTATTGTCTCACTACTATCTAGTCCGCCCCTGAAAATGTCTATGCAAACGTTATTATTAATAATAATGAAACAAAAAAAATTATTAAAAAAATTAATCCATTTTTTAAAAATAATTTTTATTTTTTTTATTTTCCATTTTTATTTTGTAATCATCTCGCGACCCCCACTTTGGGAACCCCTGATGTAGAACACTGACACGATTCCTACATAAAATGTATGCAAGCCATGAAATAAAGAAGTGACAGGCTGTTTAAAATAAACCCAGTCTGTGCAGATTTAGAATAATCTCCTGGCATTAACCGATTGGTTTTCATATTAAGTGTCTACTTGTGTATGTTTAAAAAAGCATGTACGTCGTGAAGTAAAAACTTTTTGACAAAAAACTCCTGTTCATGTTTACATGTGTGTGATTGTATAAAATGCTTTTGTAGTCTAATTCTGGGTGTTTTTAAGCATGTATTATTTGTGTGTGTAGAGTTCTCACATTCTGCCAGAGGGGAGTGTCATGGACTTGTGTTGTCGAAGCTGACTCTGGGCCTCCTCCAGGTGTGTGTAAGAAGTCTGCAGATGTAACGTCAGGTCAGGACAACGCACACGCTGCTCCCACACTTCCCCTGGCTCTCTGAACAGACCCTGGAATAATCACAACCGCACAGACACACACACAACCAAGAATCAGATAATGATCACTGTATCTTTCTGTTTTAGACGCCCCCCTCTTTCTTTCTCTGATCCCTCTCCCACAGGTAGTGATGGCTTACAGCATAAACCAGAGGCCAATCCTCTTCATGTCTCCTCCTGTGACACACAGGCCAAGAGGGAAGCAGAGGGACAGAGGGAAAAGAGAGTGAAGGAAATGATATCAGGTGAGAGCAAAAGGAGACCAAGCAAGCCAGAGTGAAAGTGTAGTGAAGTGCGGGGAAAACACAGAGGGACATGGAGTAAAGAAGATGGCATCATACACACTCAGCTGTACATCTACTATGTAGTTTGACTAGTTTCAGAGGCATTCGTTGAAAAAACAAAAAAAACAATAAGAAAATATGTCTTTAAAAATGCTACTTTAGTAATTATTTTTTTAACTGTTTCAACTGCAAAATTATATTTCGTCATAATGAAGGCATAAGATATTTTAGACTATGGCTCCAACGACACCAACGGGTAAAACAATTCCTAGTTTTTGTCTTTTCTGGGGATTTGTTAATAAAAATAAAATGCTAGTTATCTATCAATATATATCTGATACATCTATCAGTATTTTATAAATTGCAGTTGAATTAAATGTATATACTCTTTTCTCAACCTCCACACAAATCTCCGGGACCGAATCTCAGAAAAAGGTCAGTTAAACTTCAAACAGCTGTCCGTCATTTCATTCCCTCTGCATCTTCTTGACATTGGAGCTCCTACCCTGGAGTGATGGCTTTCTGATGTCTTCTGACATGTCAAAGTGGAAAAGACAAAAAAGGTTGTTTTTAGCAACACATTTTTGTGCCAATCATCGTCTAACCTCAGTTCCCACTTCAAATCGCCTTAAGAATGTATCATGCTCATCACACTGAAGGCCATGAATACACTTGAAACATATTCAATAACATGGTTGCCATCTTAACGAATAAATCAAAAGTGATCTCACAAATCTAAACAGGCTGGATTCTTGTCATTTCCAAAAGCCCAACCTGTATTCTGTTTAAGCCTGAGGAGAATGCGATCTTTAAAACTCAACAGTCAGCGGGTGTTTATTCTATTTGATGGTATATAGGGAACATTTGGTCTATTTTCCACATTTCTCAACATGCATTACTTTGTAATCTGTAGGAAAGTATAGTATTTTGTGTGAGGGTGATGTGTAAACTTTGTGCAGTGCACATTAACTTAAGCGTTGTTGCTTTGTTTGAGGTGACCTTCAGTTGTTGTTTGGTGTTAAAAAAAGGAGGGAGGATGACGGGGGAGAGATAGAGGGAGGAACGGGGACCCTGTCCTTGCTCCTATCGCCACGGGATCGGTGGCCTGGCCTGACCACTTCCACAGCCAGCACCTCAACCTTATCCATCACTACCAGATAGTTATCACACCGGGGTGGGAGGGGGTGGGGTGTAAGAGTGATAGCAAAAGAAAGAAAGGGGGACTTCCTGCACTAATCACACACACACACACACACACACACACACACACACACACACACACACACACACACACACACACACACACACACACACACACACACACACACGTAAAGAAAAAGACACATCTAAATAAATATAAATAAAAATAGTACCCTTCTCCATGTCAGCACCAAGAGACTAGCTGACACTACTAATGAACTCACTCTAACTATAGCCAGCTGGAGTGTGCGTGTGTGTGTGTGTGTGTGTGTGTGTGTGTGTGTGTGTGTGTGTGTGTGTGTGTGTGTGTGTGTGTGTGTTTGTTTGTGAAGGTAGCTTATAAAACAAGACAGATCCACACCTCATTTCTGCTCACTTATGTTTTGCATTATTAGAAACTGGTAATAGGGGACGCGCTTTGCAATAAAAAGCTTCAGAGCGCAAATAACACAAAAGGTGAAATCACATGCGATCACATGAAAACATGAAACACAAAAAGAAGTAACAAACACACAGCTGGACTATAATAAATGAAGGATATATTCTCAAGAAAGACAATCTCTGTGGAATGTCCATGTTGTTGTGTATCAGAAGGCATGATGGCCAAAATACCTTGATACTTTATCAGGATTGTGTTATTGTAAGTTTATCTTTCAAAAAAGGGCTGTGGTCAAAAGTTGCTGATGCAGCTTTAATATAGTACCATAAAAGGTCCCTAAACACACAAAATGACAACGGGTACATTTACAATAAACCCTTGTGTGCCTGTCTGAGCTCTGATTAAACTGGTTTGACAAGTCGCATTGAATAGATCAGGATTATAAATGAGAGCTGTTCATTGGACGGGCTTCTGATATACACACACCGTGGAATACAAACATCTGACAGACACATGAAGCCACACAGTCACACACAGTACAGCACTCACTGACACTAAACGGCTCTGTGCAGTAGCTCCCCAGAGAGCTGTCTGCCATGTTTTAATGATGTCATTCTTCTTCAAAAGGATCTCTGCTTTCATCAAGAGTCATCTCCAGTGGGACAAGAAGAAGAGGTTCGGGGTCTTTAATAATTAGTATGACACTTATTACTCTCTTTCAACTGTTTTGCATGCTCTACTGCTTTAAACATCTCATTGTATACCTTTAGAGTCTTTCATACTGTCACTTCTGTTTCTCTGTCTGCACCTGCTCGTGTTTGTCGTGGTCCCAGATTGAACTTACTCACCTGCTGTTTCTTGGTAGCAATGGGAGGCAGCACGAGCCTGGGTGAGAAGCAGGTTCCAGTGGTTTTGTTCAAAGGGGACCCAAGAGTCCCTGGGTAACTCTGGGCTGCAGGGCCAGGCATACCCAAGAGACAAGACTTGCCACTGGGGGCCAGCCTGGTGGGGGTCTGGTACTTGACCTGCCTCAGCAGTAGCTCCATCTCATGGGGGGCCGGCCTAAATGGAGAGTTGAAGACCCCAGGGCACTAAAGAAGGAGAAAAGAGGGAGGTTAAGCCTATATGATAGGAAGTTGAGAAATTGAGTGAGATGCTGTGAGTATCAGCATGAAATATTTAATGATGATTGGGATTATAAGGCAAGGCAAGTTTATTTATATCGCACCTTTCAACACAAGGCAATTCAAAGTGCTTTACAAAAATGAAAGACATAAAGAAAATGGCATTTAAAATCATTAAAAAGAAAAGATAATAAAATAAACATTAAAAGAAAAAAATACATGGATAAAAGTTACAGTGCAGTTTAAGATATGAATAGTTCAATTAAAAGCAGCGACAAAAAGAAAAGTCTTCAGCCTGGATTTAAAAGTAGTCAGAGTTGCAGCGGACCTGCAGGTTTCTGGGAGTGTGTTCCAGATATTTGGAGCATAATAACTGAACGCTGCTTCTCCATGTTTAGTTCTGACTCTGGGGACAGAAAGCTGACCAGTCCCTGAAGACCTGAGAGATCTGGATGGTTCATAATTTAGCAGGAGGTCAGAAATGTATTTTGGGCCTAAACCATTCAAAGCTTTATAAACCAGCAGCAGTATTTTTGAAATCTATTCTTTGACACACAGGAAGCCAGTGTAAAGACTTCAGAACAGGAGTGATGTGATCCACTTTCTTAGTGTTAGTGAGGACTCGAGCAGCGGCGTTCTGAATCAGCTGCAGCTTTCTAATAGATTTTTTAGTGAGACCTGTGAAGACACCATTACAGTAGTCCAGTCTACTGAAGATAAAAGCATGGACACGTTTTTCCAAATCCTGCTGTGACATCAGTCTTTTAATCCTAGATATATTCTAAGCACATTTAGTCACTTACAAGATCTATTTCTGATTGGCTATGAGGATATGACTCACATCATGCTCTTAGTTTATCTTTAAACAGCAGTGTAGTGCAACTGATAATATCATGGACAATATAACAACAGTTGAAATGACGACATGCAATAGAGACGTCAACTATATTCAAACAAAGGACATTTCAGTTGGTTTACTACTATTATTATTTTCAGGCACCATGATGTCCTTTTGGGTGTTTTCCTCCCCTAACAGTATAACATATTCAAATCCATTTGGAGTTATAAAACAAAAAGTAATTTTGTTCATCAGGGGGACCATCAAATAATAGAACGGCCACCTCCTGGGACAGTTTAAAATGGAACCAACAACTGTTAGTCATTAAACTATTACGGGCAATATTCCGAGGTTATTTGAACAACTTTTCATACGTATAGTTTTTCATCAAGGCTTTGACCTTCATATCATCCATATTAAACTGCACTTTCAGAAATGCATCATTCTGTTTCCCTGCTGACAACAGTTGCTGATCTTCACTTCCACAAGTGGATGCAGCATGGCGCCTGGCCAACCAAAAGCTTTTGCCAGGTTAAATATTTATCTGGAGCCGTTCACTGTGTGCACTTATTAGAGAAATAAATACATAACAATAAATGACCACAGGAAAACCCCACTGTATCATTATCAAATATGGCATTATTGAGGACTTTAATAACTTAATCAACACACGGACAAATACACACATGCAAATGTACAAAACATTGCTTCCCATGTTATGAAGTGGGGTAGAGATTTGTCAGAGACGGCCTCACTTATAATTATTCAAATCACAGTGATCCTTTTGCCTGTGTGTTAATTACCAGACCAAAGCTTTGAGTTGGAGGACTCTGTATCTACTCTATATGCTAATAACACCGCTTGCTATTTAGGCCACTCTAAAAGACTGGGAAAAACGTAAAGAGAGGAGAGAGAAAGGACATAAGTGGGAAATTACTCCAACTATATCGACCCAAACCTCTAAAATCACTCACTCTAAAATAACATATTAACAGACTGGTTAATTAGTAACTGTTTCATTATTACATCATGAGTATGTCTGATTGTAATGTCAAGTGTTGCAGAATGAGTCGAGAGATTGATTCAACACCACTGACCCTAATTTATTTAACAATGGGTTTGTAGAGACAACTGGATAACAGCAGATGTGTTAACTATTGGGCCCTTATGTCTGTGCAGTCTTTTCTGCGAGCACAAAGCTGGCAGTAATAATAATAATAAATTATATTTCTATAGCGCTTTTCTTGAACCCAAAGACGCTTTACATTTGGGAGGGAGGGTAGACAAACAAAATAAAAATAAAACAAAAAAAGAAAAAACAAAACAAAACAGAAAAGCAGTCAGGAGGAAGTTGGTTGAGAACGTAAGAATCAGGTGGCTTGAGTCTGGGGGAGGGGGTCCTGATGCGGAAGCTTTAGGCTAGGTACATATAATGTTTTGTCAACCACTTTTTCGCGCGGGACGCGCCTCCGTTGGAGTGGACTTTTACCCCAGGTGAATGACGGCTCCCGGGCCTGTGCGAGAGCGAAACCCTCATGTCTCTAACCCTAACCGGGAACCTACCGTAATAATAATAATAATATAATAAATAATAATAAAATGAACAGATGACAAGGTCAGGGCGGAGTTTTGGTGGAGAGTTGAGACATATAGGTATT